CAGTCTCTCACCACTTACGGTGTCGCGAAGTGTAGTGTCTAGGTGTTTCCGTTGGTGCAACTACGGTGGAAAGTCCAGACAGTACCTCCACTGTGCGCATTCCCCCTGAATAACTCCATCTGGCGCAAGCGTTCTCTAATACGCAGGCGACTAAATTACCAGCTCATCGGGTGGGGGATTGCGCGATAAACCGCCGGATAGACGCTGTACCTCCCAGGAGTCATATATAACCCCTGTCACAGGCTGAAACGGTGGCTATGGAAACATATGTCACTGAGTCCCTGCACCAGGGGTATATACGTCCCTCCACTTCACCCGCCTCCTCGAGTTTCTTCTTTGTGAAGAAGAAGGACAGAGGTCTGCGCCCGTGCATTGATTATCGACCACTGAACAGGGAGACGATAAGATTTAGTTTTCTCCCCCTCATTCCTTCAGTGATTGAATCAATGCATGGGGCGCGCTTCTTCGCCAAATTAGATCTCAGGAGTGCGTACAACCTGATGCGTATCCGAGAGGGAGATGAGTGGAAGACAGCATTCAGCACAACCACGGGGCATTATGAATACCTAGTGATGCCCTATGGATTGATGAATGCTCCCTCAGTTTTCCAGTCCTTTGTGAATGAGGTGTTTCGGGACATGCTTGGTCGCGGTGTAGTGGTCTACATCGATGACATCCTGGTGTATTCCGCTATGCGCGCCGAGCATGTGTCCCTGGTTCGCAAGGTGCTGGCCCGACTGAAAATTACCTTTATGCTAAGGCAGAGAAGTGTATGTTTTTCCAGCAGTCCGTCTCCTTCCTTGGATACCGCATTTCCACCTCAGGTGTGGAGATGGAGGGAGATCGCATTTCAGCCGTGCGTAATTGGCCGACTCCAACCATGGTTAAGGAGGTTCAGCGCTTCCTTGGCTTTGCCAACTACTATCGGAGGTTTATCCGGGGCTTTGGCAAGGTCGCAGCTCCCATTACCTCCCTGTTGAAGGGTGGGCCGTCCCGGCTCCGCTGATCTGCTGAGGCTGACCTGGCCTTCAGCAAACTGCGGGGTCTGTTCACCTCAGCCCCAGTACTGGCCCACCCCGATTCATCACTACCGTTCGTAGTGGAGGTGGATGCGTCTGAGGTTGGGATAGGAGCTGTCCTGTCTCAACGCTCGGGTATGCCACCCAAGCTCCGCCCCTGTGCGTTCTTCTCGAAGAAGCTCAGCCCGGCGGAGCAGAACTACGGCGTTGGTGATCGGGAGATGTTGGCTGTTGTCTGAGCCTTGACCGTGTGGAGGCATTGGCTCGAGGGAGCAAAACACCCTTTCCTCGTCTGGACGGACCACCGTAACCTGGAGTACATCCGGGCAGCGAGGAGGCTGAATCCTCGCCAGGCCAGGTGGGCCCTATTCTTCACCCGGTTTCATTTCACTCTATCATACATCCCGGGTGCGAAGAACGTGAAGGCAGACGCACTGTCCCGGCTGTATGACACAGAGGAGAGGCCCAGCGACAACACTCCCATACTGCCAGCCTCCTGCATTGTGGCGCCGGCAGTATGGGCGATGGACGCGGATATAGAGCAGGCATTACGCACGGATCCCTCTCCACCTCAGTGTCCAGATGGGCTACAGCACGTGCCTGCTCTTATCCGTGATCGTCTGATCTACTGGGCACACGTCTCCCTTCTCTGGTCACCCAGGTATCGGCCGTACAGTGCGCTGCCTGACCGGAAAATACTGGTGGCCTACCTTGGCTAAGGACGTGAGGGTGTATGTCTCCTCCTGCTCAGTGTGTGCCCAGAGTAAGGCACCTAGGCACCTCCCAGCTGGTAAGTTACAACCTTTACCAGTTCCACAATGACCATGGTCTCACCTAAGTGTTGATTTTCTAACTGATCTTCCCCTCTCCCAAGGTAACACCACCATCCTGGTCGTTGTGGACCGCTTTTC